TCCACATCAAAACAGACTAATTAGTGATTTAATACATGTAAAAAAAGAAATAATTTTCCTTAAAAACGAGTTAAAAACTGAGAAAAAAAATGATATTACTTAGTAAAAAAGATTTACCTTCAAAGATATCTTCACACAAATACAAATCTTTATAAATCCTGAATATTTCAATTAGATTTGACTTGTATCTAGTTAATAATATTACTGACAAATAACAAAAAATAACAACTGAGTCTTAATTTTCTAACACTCTTATCACTTAAAGAGACTCACCCATTTACATTAAAAATGAAATTGAAGTTAATGTCCCACATTTTCTACCATAAGACTAATGAAGATGAACAATGCCACAGCAGTGTGCAATGAGGGCAAATGTTCATATTATTTCCCTGTAAAGTTTGATTATAAAACACAATGCAGTTTGCAATGAGGCAAAGATATCAGCATTGGCCTATTCTTTTACCATATTAAAAAAACATACATATACAAATGATAAATAGCACTTATAAGAGAATATTTTCAATAATCAGAGGGTTAATCCCTTAAATATATTTTTTTTAAATTTTAATAAAAAATTGAAAGAGTTTATACAATGTAAGTGTGTTTATATAATTGTCTAGGACACGTCTAAACAAACATTAATATAAACAGCTAGTCTTGTGACATCATAGACAGATATTGTGTGTTTTGTAATGTCTGTTTTCCGTCAAATCGAACAATAGCACACAAATGTACACCTGCAATGATGAACACAGCTTGCACTGTGTCAGGGAGCGAGACCTAATTTGACTGATACAATGTAAATTAAATGAATAGCCTCTGTGGAGGCTGGCGTTGGCTTCAACCCCAAACTTTTTTTTATCAAATTACATTGAGAATATCTCGTGCTTTGAATACCCCTTGACAATTTATTGGGCCCCAAAGGATTCATAAAAATGCCACTGACAACACAACATATTCTCCACCATATTGGAAGACAAAAATGGAGCCCAAAATTATCTTTCAATCTCTCAGACATAGCAGGCCATTACAGCAAAATAACAAATGCTACATTATATAATATCACCTACTTTCCACCATGTTGAAAGACTTCTTCAATCAACTTAATCCTATCTAAGCTTCTTACAGCCACAGAGACAAGTATAAAAACTCTTTAATCTACCCTTGAGGCGTATTTATCAAGACATTTCATTTGAAATCAATAGCAGAGATTAGTTGTCATTTTACACGGTTGCATGACAATGAGATATATGCATGCATTGCTGCTTACCTCTAGGCAATATCAAGCATAAATAGAAATAGCAGTCTAGGCTTTTGATTTACCATCTGACAGGGATCACTTTCAACTATGTATATCACTATTTCAACGAAGAAGGTTTTAATTGAATTGCACACAATGTAGGATTTACATTCTGAGAAGTGATACAGTGATATTTTAGGTCTTGGATCCAACAAGCTTTCAATTCAGTCTCTCAAAATGTAATTTAGCCATAAGAAAAAATCAGAATGATGTCAATAGAAGCTCTAAGTGTCCCTGATACACATATAAAGACTACTTTCAACAAAGACTTATAAGGAGTTCTGAAATAACAGCTCAAATTTCAAACCCCAAGCAAACTTCAGTCTTTTCTTTACCAACTTTTGGATTACAACATACTAAGGTTCCCTTTGAAGATTAATAGATCTTGTAACATCAGTCTAACTTTCATAGGAAAAACCTATTAACATTTATACAATGTCTAGTGCTAGCTATTCTTTGATGGAATTACAAAGTGAAATGTCAATTGACACTACCTAGGGGTAAAATTAGCCTAAATTAGTGCTGACAACTTCAATTACTTCACAGTAGGCCACTCGATATAGTCTGGCCTGAAGTATACATAGTTTATTTAAGAGAGTCCCCATGTAACAACTATATTTTACAAGGATAACAAGTTAGGGACACTAAGATTCCTTTCTACCAGCTGGTCCTTGGCCAAGCCTCTCGGCATTGATCTTTCCTGGATTATCCATACCCGTTTATAGCTGGATTGATGGGAATAAGGAGCGAAGATGACTTATTCGAGGCCATCAGACTTTCACAAGCTGACAGAGATTAGAATCACTGACCACCATTTGTAGATGACTGACTAAAAAGTAGAAATTAAAAGGCTTGTCTACCATCAAGAAACAAAGTTTATTTTAGAGAGTCTACAAGTTTACTGTTTAGAAACCAAATTAGATAACTGACTAGAATTCAAAGAACCAATCCCTCCTTTGATCTCCAGGAATCAATATTACTAGCAGAATCAATAAAGCAGACTTCCACTTCCAGGATAATTCCACCTGATAAATACCAGCCTTTCATGTTCTTCATAATTAATCCATCATAGGTCAATATTAAAGTATATAAGCAGTATTGTTACCCAAGTTATATTCTACAAGATATCTAGTTCAATTTGTCTCACTTCTTATAATAACAATTTCTCCAACTGTTTTTTTTGATTAAATTATCTTTTTATAGCTTTCTCAAACTCATTACATTCAATTGCTTGTCTTGGAACAAAGTAAAACACAATTTATTCAACCGTCAAACACAAAATGGCCATTTGAAAAGGAAGAAGAATGAAGCACTCACCTTTTCCATAAAACTTGAACCTTCACTTTCAAACCAGAGACATCTGAAATAGAAAGATTCAATTAAAGCGCTATGGTCTCATATGACCCAAACTTTTTCTTACAGTTAATCGATAAAATTAGGAGCTAAAAGTTTCCCTGTCACAAATACAAGAGCTGAAAATCTACAGAGAAAGTCTCTTTAAATCATATTTAATCAAATTCTAATCAATAATATATTTAATATAATAATGTTATTAACTGTACTGTTTGATTGATCACCTATTTCTATCTCGATAGATTTTATCAGAATTCGGTATTTAAACTCTCTTCAATCAAACAGACATTGAGTTCAAATGACAAGGCAAATTTTAGTGCGTTTTTACATAAACAACCCTCAATGGGACAGACTGTAGGAAAATTTGGGTTATCCTTTTAATATATGACTTATTGCAAACTTAATTCTTGATGACACTCTGCTACGTGGATTCTCAACAATAAATTCACATAGCTAATATCATTTTCCTCAGAAAATTATTTCAACTTAACAAAACTACAATTTCATTGTGAATTCTTTTCAAATGAGTACATCGAACAAATATTGGTTCAAGGAAACTCACTTGAACACGAACAAATATCTAAAATTAGAATAATGATACGTCTGCATGAAAAATTGTATTGTTTCCATTTCTTAAGAGAACTGGAAATAAAGATGGTTTCAGACTATTGTTCTAAAACAATGGAATCATACCAGGAAGACATCTTTATTCCTCAGAGGTTTTTGAGTTAGCTAACAGTTCACCCTTGATAATAGACCCTTTTATAACTGTTGATACTATTGGGTCAAAATTTAGCTGAAAACTGAACATAATTCAAAGAAGAAATTCTTATGATAATGGATAGGGATTGTAGTTATTTATTCTCGGATACATGAAACCTAACCTCTCCGAATTTAACACTGATCGCATGGGAAAAAAGATCAATGCATTAAGGAGAATTTCCGTAGATCATTGAGAAGGAGTAAAGTAACCCACAGAAAAAACATAAAGCAAAATATCCCTTTTCAAAAAACATAACATACCATGAATATTAGGCTAACACAAAGATTATACAATACATTACTATATAAAACGAAGATATAGGCAATGTAATTCTCTGGTGTATTAAAGAATTTCTGTTCATCAGCCAATATAATCTCAATTTAGATTTCTAATCTCTCCAACTGCTATCTTTTATAACTCTATGTGTTAACACAGCCGGAGACTGAACCAATATCAAATACACTTAACACGCGCTATATAACACATGAATCAGTGTTTTAAGCTCATCTGATATTACTGTTTTTGGTGTTAAATACACAGGGACATCTGAGTGCTACAGGCTGTGCACGTTACAGATCCTTTGAAAGAGGTCTACTGTCTTGGAAAAGTTTCCCTCATTGTCCATGCTAATACGTGCTATATAACACATGAAACAGTGTATTAAGCTTATCTTTATTACCGCTAGGCCTACTGTTTATAGTGTTATGCACAGGGACATTAGTGGGCTACAGGCTGTGCATGTTACAGATCCGTTGACAGTGGTATTTTACATTAGAGATGTAAATATCACTGCCCTAGAAAATTTTCCTCATTGCACACTGCATGGTTTAGGCCAATAGGGACATAAAATTTTCTCAGTTAAAACATCAAGCTACTCATATCTTTAATTGCACTAAAATTCGTGAAATTATTCTCAATATAGAGTCCTAGCAAGAAAAATTTGCCATTTTCAATATTTAATTTAGGCCTATCAGTGTTCGGTAGTCTTTGTTTAATATTCGGTACTCTAAAGACGTATATCAGCTTATTTGGTATCATAAATATATTTACTCTAAATATAATGAAAAACTCTATGAAATCTTACCAACTTTAGCACCGTGTCTTCCGTTTATCAACGTTGAAGGTTCCAGAAATACCACACAATTCCTGTAGTTCCTGCTGATCTTTGAATAGTGTCTTTTATTATGATTATTGCAGGGAGCGAACTCTTTGTGTCGAATCGTCCAACACATTAAGTCCTTTCGTACTGTGACGAAGAGAGGGAAATTCAAGGCGGGAAAGTTTAGCCAATGAAATCCTCGTATTTGCCTTCTAAGCCAATCAAATTGCGCCTGTATTGAGACATTGAGGGTACGAAATGACCACCATAAACCCAGTTTACGATATTTTGCGACGATTTATTTTTTTTTCAAAAAATAAGAATAAGGAAAATATCAACCCTTCTCAATATTTTTGGGTCCCAAAAGTGAATAACGCTTTTGTCAAAAGGAAGAAAATGTACTAAAAAAAAAATTGTTAGATGTCGTAAATATTGAAGCATACCTTTTTACGATATTTATTTACTTTGTCATGTGACGAACGAAAGGGTAGTGAATTATTGGAGAAAAAATGGTAAGAATAAATGAAAATTTCGGGTAAAAACAATGTCCGACTCTACCACCCCTTTCTTGAATGATTCAATTTGTAGTCTGAATAGTTGTCAATGCTAAACTAAGGAATTTTCCATTCAAGTTTGGTCAGTTTCCTTGACAATTCAAGACTTCCTGCAACAACTTTTCTTTCCCAAGTGACCCAAGTCCACCAATCCAATGGCCAAAATAATCTTTAGTACAGTACAGAAACAGTACAAAGCCTGAATAGTTTCTAGGTTATATGCTTCAAGAAATTCCCTTCCTTGAATTTGAAACCCTATGAAATTTTGTGGTGGAATACAAAGGTCTACTCAGCAGGGTAAATAATTGAGTTCTTTGTGTAAGAGCTGTGATATTAATGCTTTTGTTAATGTCACTGTTTAGGAAGGATCTAGTTAAAAGCAACAACCGAAAACATTAGCCAAGACATCACAGCCTATGTGTTTCAAACAACACCATATGAATTAATTTGTATGGTATATCAAAATGGGAATTAAGTTGTCCACAGAAAAAGAGGAAACAAAATTTGTAATGTCATTTAATCAGATTGATAAGTTAGGGTACTAAATAGATTATAATCAGAAAGATAAAACTTTTTAATATATTTTATCCTTGTTTATAAAGGTAGTTGTTTCCCTTTAGTTAGTCTGTCAACATCCCAAAATACAAACATCAAAAACAAATGGTAATGATCTTGTGTAATTCATAATGTTTAGGTTTAGAGTTTGTAATTTTGGGGGATTATTTCTCTCATTGTCTCATATTTTTCGATGACCTAGTATATTATCTGATTGGTATTAAGTGGTGATAGCCACAGCGGGCGATTTTCGGAAGCACAGCAGGGGCACTCATTACACCTAATTGCTAGGATATGACTAGAACTCGCTACTGACTAAGCTATAGTGTAAGATCACTAATAGTCGCTGTCTAGTAAGATAAGGGTATTAGAACCTTCTGTTGTGTGTATTTTAATTGCTGATATCAGAAATATATTGTTAATGATATTCAATGATTAAATTTGCATATTAATTAATGACTGACTTAATTAATGACGCTTGCTTGTGGGCGGAGCATCTATATTAATTGACTGTCAGGCTCATATTGTCAAAAGTGATAATAGATATTTTGGGTTTTAGATCTCAAAGGTTGTACCTAATGATTGAACATTAGTGTTTAGTGGTATACTGAAGGTTATGGATTTAAAAAAATTGATTTTAGATCTTTGAAGTTTGGATTTTAGTTTGCCTTCACATATGAATTTTTGCCACCAACTTGTGGTGTTGATTTTATGGTGCCTACATGTTGTTGAGAATGCAATGTTTCAGTAAAATTACTCTTCATTATTGTTCTGATTGAAAATGGAAGTAGAGTAGAGATAAAATTATAGAGTCATAAACATACCATAAGTAAATTTTCGAAATTTTGTGAATGTTGGATTCTTCATCTTGTTTGATCGTTGAGACTGATATCATGAGTTATTTAGAATACGAACATAAACTCTCTACAAAGGAGGAGAGAAAGAAGATGGAAAATCGGAAGGCGATAGAGCAGCAGGTAAATTCCCCTCTCCCACTCCCCCACTCCTAATGAAATATGTCAGAAAAAATCAATTAAAAATGAATAAGCTAACGTGAATAATTACCCAATAATTAATGGAAAAACTAATTATTTGTATGGCCTATTAAAGTAGTCATTGATTTTGTAAAATAATTAATGGTTATCCTACGCATTTTTAGATGTTTTCTACCATTTTGAAGCAAAATTGTGTAATTTTGAAAATTCCTAAAAGCCTGAATTTAGTGGCAAGTTTTTGAGTAAAAATGAGTTTATTTGAGCATTCAGAACTTCATGAGGTCACGTTTAGAAAACAACCAGTAAGATCTGTTGATAGAAGTGGTTTAAACACTTTGGAAAAAGATATTTTAAAATGGATAGCTGGATCTGGCAACAAGGAAAAGGTAACTCTTTAAAGATTCCAGAAGCTAATTATAGCAACCAATCAGAATCACTTTTACAAGTGGGTATGGGCAGTTTCATAATTTCTAGAGTCATATAGGTCTACTTTGGGTTTGACTATCCCATAATTCAAAGCAGATATTGAGTAACAGATTCTGCATGACACGCTGTGATTGATTGAAATAAAAGTCAAATGCACACAACCTTGGTATGAATCTTCTTAGATTACAATTGAGACCAAAAAAAAGAAAATAACGAAAGGAAATTCTAATCTAATTTTACTGCAGGAACACTGAAGTGGAAACTTGCCATAACTCTTATTATATAAACTAGAATCACAGTTTTAGAGAAGCACCTTCACTATCCATTCGACCAATCATACCTTAGTTTCAGTGTTCATAGCTCATCATCAAAATTTGAGCCTTTAAATCCATGTGTATCCATAATTATTCACGTTTGACAGTTGAGACTATGCCATATATAGAAATAGACAGTGAAATTTCTAGTTTGAGGTATATTTGAAGGGATTATGCGATTTTCATGTGTTTTAGTATTTCTTAAGATTATTAAAGAACAATAAAGACCCAAATTAATGCCTGAAAATGCCGACTGTTCCCTTTAACACATTTGTTAGCATCATATATGGGTGAATTCATGACTTCATGAATTCTCTAGGAATGAACATAATTATGTCACTTGACATTTCTCATTATCATGTGATTTCTAGGAAATTACACCAGAATTTTTACTCTGTTTTATAAAGAAACTCTTATTGTGGTTGATGATTCATTGTAACTATTAAATTCACACCTTTGTCTTTATATAATCAGTTATTATGTCTATTTTCTCTCGTGTAAGGTTTATTGTGATATTTAATTTTCTTGTTATTACACATTGACTATTTGCACTGTCAGTTCGTGTATTGTGTTTTTTCTCTCTCCATTTTCACTGTTGTTAGCAGCCATTGGAAGAGATCATTCATTTTTCATATGTGTAGAGGATTTTTTCCCTTCTCTGCGCTAGTTTTTTTCTCGAGTGTGTAGCCATTTTGACTTTCTTTTAATGAGTAAAGGTTGCATTAAAACGATGTTACGAAAGCAATGGCCAATACAGGCATTTCAGTTTAGTGTCATCTGAACGACTAACTGAATGCCTTTTGCATCAGAGAGGGTTCTGATTGGTTGATCTAAGTGCATTGATAAACTTAACCAATCAGATTTTAGATACTATAATCGTAAGTTAAGATCTTTTTGATGAAAAAGCCCCAGGCTTGCATCTAATTTTTTTTAGCAAGTGAATTTCTATTTTTTGATGTAGCTGATAAATAGTCTCTTTATTATTAGTATACTTAAAGTGTTAGAAAATGTTGAAGATGTTGTCTATATAAACTATGGGATGTCTTGTTAACCCAGGTTATCTAGCCAAATATTAATATTTAACATCACACTTGGTATCCCTTATCAATTTTATAATGAGATTTAGGATGATGTCTTCAATGGAGTGAAATGAGTGATATTAATTTGATTGTTTATGAATTTTAACGAGCTCAAGATAATGGGGCTCAAAAAAACCCCAAATTTGTTCATTCATAATTATCGTTAAAAACTTTAATGAATAAAAAATAATAGGAAAAAAGTTGTAAAGATTTTGATGAATAGATGACTGATTAAAAGAATTTTATTTGGCTCGTGAACTCTCTGAAAGTTAAGGATTAATAGTGTACAATTCAAGTATTGACTAGTGTAAACAATGTGTTCAAATATTTTATTGTGCAAATTTTGAAGGATTGAAAACGTATTTGTCTTGTGAACTCTCTACAAGTGAAGGATGGCAAAGTGTGGGACTCTAAAATTAGGTATGTGGACCTCACAAATAAGTCATTGGACAAGTTTCATTTTGATTTTTGACGGTGCTAAGCCAAGTTTTTTGTGAACTCTCTAGAGGGCAATGAATTTCATGTGTAAACCACATTGACTGTGGTCTTGGGAAGTGTTAATATGAAGAGGCTAGTGGCAACGCTTAATTCGTTTATAGTGTATTCAATTATGTTTCTTGTGAACTCTCTATGAACGAAGCATGACAAAGTTTGGTCTCTTTAATTTTAGTATGTGGACCCCACAAAAAAAAGGCGATTGGCCAATTTTTTCTTCCATGGTTGTCTTTGTTTTTATTTGTCTGCTATTGGATTCTGCACTCTATAGACACTTTTTGCTGTTGTTTACCATCTTATGACATTGTTGAGGTCAACATATTTTGTTACAGAGTGGGATCAAGTGTTTCGGATGGTGAACATGCATTGCTTTACTAGAAATTCACTGTAGGACTTCTTTATGTATGTTTAAAAATTAGATTTTTTGATGTGCACTCTTCAGTTCTTAGCTAAAAGGGTTAATGCACTCTTATTTTTTAAGTTTTTTTTATTTTTTTTAATAGGTTTAGCTTGATAGACAATTTTCTTTTTGGTTTGTGAAGCATGTCTACCAATTGGTTATTTTTTTGGTCTGTGGGTAAAACCTGTAGTGTTGCCTTATAAACATCAAAATAGATTCTTTTGCTTGGTTAGTTTCCAATAGGCATGACAAGGTCTATTGACCCATAGTTCTATTGGCCTGGTATATCACAGATCTATTGTCATTAAGTTCTATTGACCTGTAAGTGATTTAGATTGATTGACCTGCTCTCTTTTTGATGGGCTCTAATGGAATGTAGGCAAGTCAATTCTATTGACCTGCTCGCTTTTTGAAGAGCTCTAATGGCGTGTTTGCAAATTTATTCTATTGACCTATTTTGGTTCTACTTGCTTTTTAATCCTTCGATTCTATTGGCCTTTGTCTATTTAGGTTCTATTGGTCTGGAACTAATTTAGATCTATTGACCTACTCTAGTTTTATTGGCATCATCTCTGCATTTGTCCTATTGGCCTTAAAATATTCTAATAGGTGTTTTCATTATTCGACAAGGGGTCTCTTAAATTCTGTTTTATAATTCATTATGTAAGGTAGACTAAAAGATAGAAGATAAATCTTGTGACCTGACGCAGCATTCCGCATAAAAATAATTTATCTTTTTAAATGTTTACATGTTTCTAACTGACAAATTATCAAGTTTTTTATAGGTTGAATTAGTTGCATCCGTCTTCTAGAAATTTGTAACTTGTGGTTTGATATAATTATTTTGGAAGAGGATGTTTTTGTCATGTGAAGCTTAAATTGGATTGATTTGAAAGCTCAATTCACCAGCAATATTGGAAAAGGGTTTTTTTTTTTCATTGTCTCTGTATATGTTTGTATTTTGGTCTGAAAAAAATACTGTTTTGGAAATATTTCTTATTTTGATGGCAGTTTTTTTTTGTGTTGTAAAAAATTTTTTTTATCATTTTTATCAGTTCTCAATTCTATTTGAATTGCAGAAGAACATGATGTTAAGTTCTCCTTTTAAAAAGTGTTACTCATAATCTTAATTTTTCCTAGATGACTGCATGGCTTAATATGAGTTATATTTTTGGTAGTGCGAGTGTACTTGTAAAAATAAACAGATAATAGTTGATGAATGGAAAGAGACTAACTTGTTTAAAGTTTAAACCTGTCAAATTCTGAAAGTTGCTGAGTTTTGCAAGTTTGTGAGTTTGTGAATAAATTTGCCAACAATGCGAAAATAATTCCTGACCCCCCTTGTTGACATTTTGAACGAGTTTTTCAAGTGGAGGACAGTTATTTAATTTGTTCTTAACTCGTGTTGTGGTTTAGACATTAAATATTTTAACTTTTTGGAATATAATTTATCACAAATATGGAAGAGTTTCCACGATTGGAACCACAAATGAGTGATGCATCTGACATTACTGATACCCCAAAAATGGACAATGCAGCAAAGATATCATTATCTAATAGCCAACGTTGTGAGCATAATGATTCTTTTGTGAAGCAGCCAGTCCATAGAAGACCTTCACTACCAGAAGCTAGTACCAGTTCTGGATTATTTGCTGATGCTGAAGAGGTAGGTAGGGCTTGTGGGAATTATTGTTAATATTGGCGCAAAGGGACTTGATGATTGGTCTAGAAATTTTGTGGTTCCTTGGTCAATTTAGCAGAGAGTATTTTGGTATTTCCTCAAAGATTTTCCATTTCAAAGATGCATGTGAAAGGGGAGCTGACATACCAAATGTTCTAGTAAAATTTCCTTCATTGCCTACCTCTCTTAGCATATTCTATTCTGATGCATTAGCCATATATAAACTGTAGAAAAATTAGACTGAATTAGTTAAATTGGTATCAAAAGCTAACATCTTAATAAGTAGTATTAAAAATAGATTGAAAAATGATAATCAATCTAACTTATCTTCTCCATTTTTTATAATGAGCTGTCAAAATGGTTATATCAATTTGTTATAATTTCAAGGGAAAGTGCACTTTGATGTCAAGATGTCAATGTCTGGTTGACATATCAAGTTGACATCTTCAATGTCATTACCATAATATAATTATCATATTTTTCAGAGAGAAATTATTATTTCCAACTCAGCGCTTGACTAAATTTATTTCATTAATATGGGAACTTTTTCTGGTTTTTTTTCACTAAAAGGGGCTGATTTAAGGCTTTTTAAAACTGTCTCTCCAGTTTTTAATCATTCTGTATCAACATTATTTTCTAAATGGTATAGTGTTTTTCCAACCTTAATTTGTTACCAGCAATTTTTGATCTTAAGATAGCTTTAAAAGTTTGCAACAATATGTCACGTTTTCAGTAGTCAAAAGACTTAGAATTTGAGTTTTTACTACAGATTTCTAAGATATGAAAAACTGCCTATGCCTTGACCTTCAAATTTTGAATTTTTAACCTGAATAAAGCAATAACATATGCTACCTTTAGTATTTCTTAGTGGTTCTTATAACATTCTATTTTTCAATTGAGAAAATTAAATCTAGATTTTGTAGAGAACAAGATACTTTCTGAGTTCGTTCACATTTCAGTTTTCAAAATCTAAGCAAATAATATTCATAAGTAAATATTTAAGGTCATGCTTTTGAACTTGACAAGTTGGACACCTCCAAGGTGAAACTGTCTGTGAATAAAAATTATTAATTGAATACAGATGAGAAAGGGCTAAGGTTACATTCTTTAAAAATGCTTGGTTAGTGATAAGAGTAGATATCACATTTGAAGTTTTGAGGTGTTAAGGTTTTCTTGGTGCATTTCAGTTTGTTTTACTAGTGCCGCGTGTGTTACCTTCTCATGGAAAGATTCAAAGTGCTTCCTAGATGTGGTTAAGCTTTTGTGAAGTCTTATATTCATCTTGCTTTACTAGGTGATAAAGCTGAATTTTCAAAATCAAAGTTAATTTGTATAAATTGTAGAAGAATTTGATGTCAAATTATAAAACTGAAAAGTGATCCAGGTTGCTGAAATGAAGCTCTATCAGCTGGTAAAATAAATGAATTGGGGACAAGATACCTTTAGATGACTGTAAATAGGTGAATCAGACATCAAAGTTGAGGCAAAAAACATATCAAAAGAGCAAAAGTTAACTGTCAACTTGAAAAATTAGTCTAGAACATGACACATGTTACTTGACATAATTATGCCATGTTTTTTGTGCAGTGTTAATTTTTCAACTATACTGGCATATCAAAAACTGACATCTTGTGGAAATGCATGTCAGTAAAAATTAATTATTATTATATTTTCACAGAGCATATTTTAAATGTTTCAAATATTAATATATTCATCACGGAAACATTAAGAATTGGACAAGTGTTTTTTGCTTTCTTAGATTTATTTAAAATGTTTTAAATTCTGACATGACCTTGATAAAAAATAGAATGTGTTAATGTGGAAAATAGACTCCGCCAAAAGAATTGCCTTGAGGTGTTCTGCACATGAGGACACATATTCCATTAGAATAGTTTGTGTGCCAAAACCTTAGAACTTGACAAATTTGATTTGACAGTGGTTGTTTGCTAGATAGAATACTTCTGTGGGTGGTCTGGTAAAGAGAACTGATAATTCATAAGGAAAGTTCATGTGACAATGGTTATCCACCTGTTAAATGAATCTCTGGTGATGTAAAGGTTGGAGAATAGCCTTTGCCAGAAGAGTGAAGTTTGTGACTATGTTCTATCCAGATATTTTAAATGAAGCTATCACTAGAAGGAATTATGAAAAGAAACTCATCCTGCAATGGGTTAGGAATCAGAAAATTTTTTCTAAAATGGTGATGGAAGCACAATTTAAGCTATCCTTATCACTTTTCAAAATGTAAACTGAAGTATCTGTACAATTCAACAGATAAGGTTTTAAATTTGATGAGTATTGCTGAAAGCTGAAATTGTGCTCTATCAGCTGGTAAAGCACAGTAGCAATCTGTGTTCCTTTTTAACATTGTTGGCATGTGTTGTTATGGCTTACAACCAAGATAAATATAAAGATAAAGTGCATTAAAAGGGTTAAACTAGGGGATAGTACAAGATTATGTGTATTCAGTCATAGAAGTTTTATAGCTTGTTTACATAGCTTATGTAACTGTCTCTTTTTTTCTGAATAATTGTTAAAGGTTTTTTTTTCTTCAAATGTCTTGTGACTGATGTTGTTAAATTTTTTTTTGACGAGTATTAAAGTCTGCATAAGTCGTGTGGAAAAAGAGGTGATACAGTTTGTTCAGTGGAGCGAGCATGTGTAGCAGTATAAAAAAGAACATCATATAGATAAAAGAACATATTAAGGATTATAAAAAGAACATGGCACATTAAGAGGAACATTAAAATGATTCAAACTTAATAGTAAAAAGGAATAATAAAGGAACATAGCTTGTCCTAAAATAGGAACAAAATCTTATATTAAAAGGAACATAACTTGTACTAAAATAGGAACAAAACCTTATATTAAAAGGAACATACTAAAAAGTATAAACTTGTATTAAAAGGAACATTACGTGATATAAGAAACATAACATGTGATATAAGGAACATAGCATGTGATATAAAGAACATAACTTATATTAAAAAAGGAACATGGATATAAAATAATGTAATTTTCAATGAAATGTTTATGTCTGATTCAATATTAAAGTATCTAGGACAAGCAGATTGGAAACAATACTGCTCTTGTCCAGATTGTCAGGTAACCATTCTGGACACAGAAACCTATTGAGCTAGATGAAGCTACCTGAGCTTAAAATGAAGCTAATTAAGAGCTAGAAGGAAGCTAATTGAGCTCGAAGAAAGCTATATATGCCACAATGAAACTTATTATGCTTAAATTAAGCTACTAGGATAATTGAAGCTTCTAATGACACTACTGGATGAAGAGGAAGCTACAAATGGAGCTAATATATGCTTGATTGAAGCCCTATAAATTGCCTATGTGCACAGCTCTAATGTTGGTAAATTTATTTTCAGGCTGGTGGAGGAGAGAAAAAAGAACATCTTTATAAGATATTAGTAATTGGTGAACTGGGAACTGGTAAAACAAGTATCATCAAGCGCTATGTACATCAATTTTTCTCCCAACATTACAGAGCTACTGTATCCTTTAATTAATGACCCCTTGACCTCTATTAAAGGGGTTGTGTGGGCCATTTGCAAGCTTACATTTAGTCACTGCTATAGTGAAATCTGCAGCAAAAGAAAATTTAAATAACTGTCAGCTTTATTAAAAAGGAATTGTGACTTAAATATTTCTCCCAGTGTTCAATCAACTAATTGATATCCTTAACCCTATGTAAAGATTGGCGTAGACTTTGCATTAAAAGTGTTAAATTGGGACTCAGATACCTTAATTAGACTTCAGTTATGGGACATAGCAGGTAAGTTCTTTTGTTTAATATGGAGTCCTCTAGGGCAGAGAGGGTGGTTTAGACTTTAAACCCTTGAACCAGCAGGTCAAAGTTACTTTCACTTTATAATGATGCAAAGTTATGGATCAATCTGTTTTGTGGGTCAATCTATATCCAAGATCAATCTGTATTACAGGTCAAGAAAGGTTTGGTAACATGACCCGAGTGTATTATAAAGAGGCTGTCGGGGCCTTTGTGGTGTTTGACGTGACCAGGGCATCCACATTTGATGCTGTCTCCAAGTGGAAGAATGACCTGGACAGTAAAGTTCAGCTACCAGATGGGACTCCAGTTCCTTGTGTTCTCTTAGCAAATAAAGTAAGTATTTTATTTGTTTGTTTGTTTGTTTTTTGTTCATTTATTCATTCATTCATCTATTCGTTCATTCATCTATTCGTTCATTCATTTATTCGTTCATTTGTTCCTTCCTTCCAGTGTGATCAAGCTAAAGAAGGTTTAGTGAATAATTCAGCCCAAATGGATGAGTTTTGTAAAGAAAAAGGTTTTATTGGGTGGTATGAAACATCAGCTAAAGAAAATATCAACATTGACGAAGCTTCACGATTCTTAGTCACTAAAGTAAGTAGTTTTCTTTGTGTAAGTCCACATTCATTCATTCATTCATTCATTCATTCATTCATTCTTTCTTTCTTTCTTTTTTTCATTCATTCATACCTTAGTTATTCTATTCATTCATTTATTCTTTTAGATATTAGAGAAAGATAAAGCTATGAAGCTAGGTGAAAACGACCGTGATAATGATAAGATATTACTGGACGGTCGAAATTCAGCCAGCTCTACAGAGAAAAAATCTACTTGTTGCTGATAGATTGTTACTAGAAGCGTATTTAACAAACATCACATATTACAACTTTTCTTACCAAAATATCAATTTATGGCTCATTATTACCCTTATTCAAATGATATTTTGGCAGAGTTGTAAGCTAAAGCTCCATAAAGTGTAGGTGTGTTCAACAAAATGCAAATTTTCTCACCAAAATATCAAATTATTGCTCTATGTATCCCTTATACAATTTGTAATTTTGGCAGAATTGAAGGTCAACAGTGGGCTTATTAATTGAAGGTGGCTATGTATGCCAAAATGTCATATTCACACTAATTATGCTCCTTATGGATATGATATTTTGGCAGGGAGAGCTGTATAAAGAGTGTTGTTTGTTGATTACGCTGTTTATTTTTATATTGTTAATTGTAATATAAATATTGTTAATATTATTTGTTGATAAGATGGCTGTCTTATGACATCTTCACAATGCTAAGCTATTACAAACTTTGTCTCATGCCTTGACTGCAATAGCCATCTTTCTTGTGTTACAGAATGCATTGATTTGATTGGATTGTATGCTAGAGAAAAGTCTTACGAGGGCTCGGATTGGCTGTATTTGCTAGCATACAATCCAATCAAATCTTGGCATTTAGATTTACAAGAAAAATGTCTAATTATGTCAAGGTATTAGACACAGTTTGTGATAGCTTGACATTGTCAAGATAGTCTTACGAAAGCGTACTAAAATGTTCATGATGCATTTCCATTAATATATTATTTATATGCAATAGTAGTAATGTTTCAAATTGCAATTGCTATATGTTTAACAAGGGTAGTAACTCTTGAAGATTTGTAGTGTTCATATTAGAAGTTGGGGTGGTTGAAAGTCGAAAGGTAACAAGTTAATATTCAACAGATGGTGCTGTCGCAGTGTTAAATAGTGCTCCAAAGTGTTCATTATAGATTGAAGATTTAAGTTATCGTAGTCCAAACTTCATCTTATACCTTGACTGCAATAGCCATCATTCTTGATTCACAGAAGTTATAATAAGTTTATAATAACTTGATATTGTGAAGATGTGTGTGGTAAGGTCTTCTACTGACCATCAGCAACCAATTACAAAATGGCCGACAGATAGTGTAATAGAATAACAACCAGATAATTTACATTAATAAACCATTTAATCATTTATCATTTGTGAATGTCAATATTGCTATAGATATTTAATTAGATCATTAATATGCTAAAATTAATCAGCTTTATGATATGATTCAGTTTAAAGTTGGGGTGTCACATCTGTTTTAGCTCTAGCCATGATTTAATTTAAACTTGTTTCTGATGCTCTGATAGGATTTTTTGTTCCAATTTTTTTCAGTTTAAAGATGGGATGCCATAACCATTTTAGCTCTAGTTTAATCTAAAATTTCTGATGCTCACTTTGTGCTCATCCTTCTTTTGTTATTTTTTTTGCCCCTTTATTGTTTCATCAGTTTAAAGATGGGATGCCACACCCTGTGTTAGCTCTAATTTAATCTAAACTTTCTGATGCTCATCTTGTGCTCATTAATGTTTTGCATGTCACAATTCAATTATGGATAACAATTATTGAAAGATGAGAGTAATTGTTATTGACCCTACATAAGTGGCTAAGTAATTGTTATCAAAGTAATTGTTATTTGAAAATGTGTTATTGGCCCTTCATATTTCAGATATTTTCACATGTGAATTTATTATGTAAATAATTCAAGTTTAATATAATTTCATTATTTACTTAGAATATATAAACATAGTATGTAGATTTTTATAAATGCTCAAAGTTATGATATTTATTAATGGCACATTCTTTTGTGTGATTTTCAGTATTTTAAAGAAGCTCACCCTCTTGAATTTTCCAATTTGAATATTTATTTGCAGTTGGTTCAATTTAGCCTCAAGCTCTAAACTTTTTTCTAAATTGAGAAATATTTGAAATGCTGTAATTATTACCTAGGTGAGTGATTTTAGAAGATTATGGAGCAAGAGTTGGGTGTTTAAGATCTTCTGGTTATGATTAATAGATCCTAGAGACATACATGACAAAAACAAAATTGAAAAAGGAGGGAGGGGGGCAGGTAGAATTTTGGAAATGTGGTTTGTTTTCAATATACAGAAGTGACCTAGAAGTGTCCCACTCATGGAAGTGGTCTATTTTCTTTGTCCCACTCATGGAAGTGGTCTATTTTCTTTGTCCCACTCATGGAAGTGGTCTATTTTCTTTGTCCCACTCATGGAAGTGGTCTATTTTCTATGTCCCACTCATGGAAGTGGTCTATTTTCTATGTCCCACTCATGGAAGTGGTCTATTTTCTGTGTCCCACTCATGGAATTGGTCTATTTACTATGTCCCACTCATGGAAGTGGTCTATTTACTATCCCACTCATGGAAGTAGTCTATTTACTATGTCCCGCTCATGGAACTGGTCTATTTTCTATGCCCCACTTACAGAAGTGGACTATTTACTGGTTCAGTGATTAATATAATTTTCTAATGAATTATGATTATAATTTTGATTGTGATAGTGAACTTTTGATAGTAGATATTTAGCATATTTATATGAATATATTTAATTAATTATTTATGTCAACTTTTGATAATAAAAAAATAAATATAATCAACAACACATAATCTTACTGGCGTATCTAGAAAATGCCTGTGATGTGGGCCACAAATGAGAGGCAAGGCCTGAAGCACAAAAGCACCTTGAGGCAAAGGTTCTTGGGACTGCAAGAAGATGAATGCCCCTGAGATGAATTTTGAGAGCTTAATATTCACTTCAAAAGAAGATCTATCGCAGTGCCGAGGGAGTGGAGGGGAGGAGAGGGCTGCATGGCCTAATGGTCCTCCCTCTACGATACTGGGAAGTTTCATATTATAAAACTCATAGAGATTTGTTAGCCCACCTTTTAAATCTCCTGAAAGGAAAATTTAGGTCCACATCCAGTGCTTTCGACAGTCGAGATGTCGTCAGTTCCAAAAACCTACCTCACACAAAAGATAAGTCATATTAAATGAATGTATACCCTCGTATTACCCTCGTATAGTATATATGATACTGTTCATCATATTCAATGATTTTACGGTCCAAGGGAGAAAACTCGATTTAAAAAATTGACTTGAGCTAGAGACTACAGTTAATTCTTCTTACCACGTGTTATACTATGGCGTTGCCTGTTCTTGTCTTAAACCAATGCTTATTCTGTTGCCCTTTGATTCTGCTGTTTCAATACATATTGTAGGTTCATAAATCGTCCAGAATAGGCTAATTTTAAATCCCCTGTCAGTGCTTCCAAGAGTGCAGGACAGGGAAAATATTACATAAAAAGTAGAGTAGAAAATATACAGGCGAGATGATGGCATCCCGGCCCCATGTAATAAAGATCATTATGTATGCCAGTGCTTTTAAGGGAATTTTAACAGAACAGTTACATTTGTCTACTCATTTCGATTCTAAACGTCCAGGACTCTTTATTTAACCATAGCCAAAATAAAATAGAGGCTCATTATTATTGTTTACAGTTAGCCTCAGTTTGGCGGTATGACAGGGGGATTCCCCTAAAGTATATGAAAATCCACGTGTTTTTCATGTGTTGTAGAGGAAAATGTCGACAGTTTGGACTCAGTTGTGGAAGAAACTAAAGTATTATGGCCGTTACCATTCAGGTATTTCATTATTATCATTATCAATTGTATATATCTATGCTAATCCCCTCCGTTAATCCCTCACGATAAACCCCTAATCCCTTGGTTAGGCCTACCCATACACTACTCGGGTTTTCGAATCAAATTTTCCTCGTTTTTTATCGATATAAATTGCAATGTAGGCTTTAGATAAGCACTGTTAGTCTTAGATTGTCTGTTGGTTCATAGAAATTCTAATAAAGGCTCGATTTATTGCGAAATTTGAAAATTTTCTGTCCAAATATGGCTCATTTTGTAACTATTTTTGAGAGGGATTTGTGTTTATTTTAAATTGAAAATTGAAAAATCTTATATTTTTACGAACCCAGAGACAATCTAAGGCCATAAATGTTCATATAGAATTCATATTCTGATAATTAGGCACGAATAAGCGTTTGCTGTATGGTACGTATCATAACAAAATAAATAAAGAATTAACTGTTGTCTTATAAATAACTAGATTTAATAAAATAGAGTTTTCTCCCTTAGACCGTTAAAGTTCTAATGATGCAAAGTTGATCTTAGTCTGAACAATACGGATTAAGCTTTATAAAAAGGGCGATAGGGGTTGAAAGAAGACACTGGGCCGACGTTCACAAGCACAGGCCGTGGCATCAGAATATTTTTAAACAGTTTTAGACAGCAATCAGATAGTTAAGGCGTATTTATTGAGTGTTTCGTCGCAAGGGTTAGCTCCATTCCTTTTTTTTGGTTTCGTTCAGGATACAATAGATTACAAACTTGAAAAGCAATTTTTCTAATAATTTCTATGTACTTTCTTGAAAAATGGATACACATAACTTAAATTATCGCCAATTTTGAACCTAGAATTGCTCTATTTTATTCAAATCTTTGGAAGGCTCTCAAAAGGCCTACTATTTTGAAGTTATATTATTAGGCAGGCAAAAAAAGAAATGAGCCATATTGCGATTCAAAAATCCACAGTGGTTGGACAATAGAAAGTGGAGAGCTGAAAAGGGAAGTTGATTTATTGAGGAAACCCCCGTTCAATTATTCTCATCATCAACACGGAAGGATACTCGGGTATCGTATTACTAGTGATAACACTCGGTTAAAACAATACTATTATATTAGATATACCATTGTTGACAATTATTTTGCTCATAATAAACCTAGGCAATATTTTTCACAAAACATATGGAAATGATCACGTATTAGTTTATTATAGGCTTACTCAACGTTTTAGCAATGACATTGTCATCATTTCACTAGATGTAAATTGTCTAAACGTTGTATGTGCTGTTATTTAATGTTTGCCCATACCCTGGTTGTCGTTCACCAGTTGCTTGTTTTGTTGATTATTCATATAGTTTGACAAATGTTTATCTTTTGACATTTGTGTAAACAGCGTTTTGATAATACTATTTGACCATATCAAATCGTTTGACAATGTTACATATATCGTTTGACAGTATTCTTCTATCCCTTGACAATTGTTTGACACTTAGTCTTAAGATTCAAACAACCATCATCGTTTGACGAAATATATATAATATTTTCTAATGAATGTATTTATAAAATAACAAAGTTCTCCTAGCTCTCTGCTCTTCACGATTCAGCTAAACGGGAACTATCGAGGATGGCCGAATAACGAAATGACTCGATGTGAGAAGTTTTCACCTCGATTAACTGAACAACGGGTCTCTTCCAGCAATGTTTAGTAACATTCACATACTGTGGCGTGGTTTTTTTTTTTAATTTTGATACACTGCGTGTTGAGTTACGCGTGTCGTATAACGGAATGTCGTGCGACTGCGACAAATAGCTTTGATGCACCAATACATTACAGACATTCTGATGAACTGTAGTTGGAACACAGTGGAGTAAACGTTTGCGAGGTAAGACTTTAAAAAAAAAGAAAGAGAGAGAGAGAGAGAGAGAGAGAGAGATATGAATGAATGAATGAATGAATGAATAAATGCATGAAAGATGAATTACATTTTCTTGAAATAAATTTGTAACGACATCCTTGATGTGGACTCATCGAATTTCACAACTTTCGTTCTAATTTTTAGGTTTAAAATCCAAAATGGAAACCAACTTTACAGCATTAGATTATACTACAAACGCCACCACCACCAGTTTGAACGCTAGTTCCAGCTATACAACTGGCGGAATTGAGACCTTTTCCAGTTTAGATGGTTTTATCACTGACTCCTGCAATATGACGCCATCTGGTTCGACCAATTGGGATTTGTTGTTAGCAATCGAGGAAAAGAAGACGAACATGTTGATTTCCACATTGATTTACATGTCAGTGTTGATGGGTCTGGGATTCCTGGGCAATACATTGGTAATTGTGGTCTACACAGTCCGCATCCAGAAGGGAACAACCCGTATCTTCATCCTGGCTCTAGCCGTGGCGGATATCTTGAACAACATGCTCGGAATGTCAGGAGAGATCATCGACATCACCCAACATTTCACCTTCACCAGCTCGGTGATGTGTCGCTTCATCCGCTTCAACAACTACATCACCGTCTTTTCGTCTATTTTCATCCTCATTGCCGTCGCCATAGATCGATATCGACGAGTTTGTCGGCCTCATTCCAAACAGATCACCGTTTGCGGTGCCAAGGCTATGGTGGCATTTGCAGTCTTCTTTGCCTCATTGATTACTGTACCTGCTTTGATACTGAATGGAGTTAGAGAGTTCGTTTTGGAAGAATATTGTATCGAAGCCTACGAATGTACCTTCATGAACGCTTGGAACGATACCCCATATCCACATATCTTCATCGGCACACAATTTTTGATGTTCGTGGCTTCGTGCTGCATTGTACTCATTCTGTATATATTGATCGGGCGAACCATTTTCATCCACAGCCGCTTCAGTTTCAGAGACAGCTTTTTACGGAAGAAGAAGAACAAGGTGGAAATCGCGCAAATCGTACCACTTGCTGCAAATCCGGTCTCATATGCAGCTGCGTCACGAATAGCAGAACCGAACGATTCGGCAAGCGACGCTCCTTCCGGTTACGGCGAGAGTGAAGCGGACGCTCTGAACATCGCCAGGAAAAGCATCCTCATCACCAGAAAGCGCAAGATACAAAAATCCCGAAAGATTAAAAACCGTACGACGTTGATGTTGGTTGCCATTTCGTTGGTCTTCATCCTCAGCTGCCTGCCATACCTGAGCATTTCTGTTATGAAGAGACTAGACTCTGAGTACGTCTCTTCTTTGACGGAATTTCAGTTGAAAGTCCATAACATCTTCTTGAGGTCCTACTTCATCAACTCCGCTGCCAATCCCATCATCTATAGCTTCTTCAACGCACGATTTAGAACCGAGGTTATGGGGCTCTTTTGTCCTTCGCGATATTAATTTTTGGAATGGGTCATTTTTAGGAGTAGGTGGTCTTTGGAAGAAGTATCATTTGTTATGGGTACATTATGTTATGTGTAAGATTCTGAAGGAGTCACTTATGAAATGAGTTGAATTTGGCCTCTGGACGGGATGGGAACGCGGTACATTTTGGACTTTTGCAATGAATAACATTTGCTGGTTACTTCTAAAAGTGGTTTTGTACATAAACATATTTTGTAAATATATAATTGTTCTATTTATTGAATTAAAAAATTTATTAAAGAACAAATTGTCATTTCTTTTGCAGTATACACCCCTGCTTAGCTCATATCCTGCACCGTAATGTGCATAATTGAAGTTATATGGATATCACCTTGGCAGATTTAAACTCTACTATTAACAGGATTCCAGATGCTATACTTGTTAATGCAGAAATAAGAACCAAGACGAACGCCCACGACAGCGTCAGGATAGTGTTGTCGAATTCAGCACCAAAGATAATCACTCCAATGAACATAAACACGCCTGAAACGATCAGAGTAAAACGTGTTTAGTACGTTTGATCCATCACGGAAGATTGTGGTTAATACACAGTTTAGTAATACCCTTACCTGCAGCTATGGCGAATGATCCACTAAGTATGGTGAACAGACTCTGTCGGCTATGACAGAATAAAAATGCCAGTAACAAAAAACAGCATGATGCAACCAATGCCATGAAGCCGAGTATTTCCATGGCAGCTACGCCCTTTTCCCAGCCTGGAATTGAAGAAGGATGAACAGTGACATGGGGCACCTCATGAAACACCCCTATTGAATATTGAGTCATCTTCTTGACGGAAGATGCTGATGCCAATGCTTAAGATCTAGTATGTTCTTGTTGGGAGTATCATGATATCCGTATTTAGAGCTGTCTTAATCAAAATCGTTTTGGGGTATGAAAGGTCATCCGAGTTCAAGGGGATTTTCGGATATAAAGGCTATCCGATTTGGAAGGGTTATTCGGATATAATTGGTATAAGGATGAAGGGTAACGGGTATAGGAAAATAAGGGTAAAAACGACATTTATGACTATAAAAATACTAACCAAACTGGTTGGCCTGGTCCGTATTGATACAGTCCTCAAGAATATCGTAGCAAGTTAACCAGAGGCCGTACCAGACTCGCCCGAACACGTCAATGTTACCAGTTAACCAGTAAGGGCTGGAGAAGCCGATGACGTTAAAGATGGCAGACGCCACCAAAAGATAGAGGGCTGTCACAGTCTTAAGACTCATGATGCTGAAACATTTAAATGAAATAGAGTTTTACGTCCTGCTTTTCTGCACCCGAGAAACATTGAAAGAATCGACTGAAGTTCAGATCGACTGTCGGTTCTCGAAATCTTTACGGGATCTGTCACAGTCGACATAAACGGGGCGATCGTTGAAAATTAGACCGACTGCTAACTGCGATCTACCGGATCGTAGCAGGTTCTAATTTCTCAGGTGGTCGAGGAAAAGATCCATTTTTGTTTGAAAGTATAGCATAATTTCTTAAAATGCTAAAATTAAATGTCTTACCTATTTAGCTCCGATCGGAATTTGAAAAGACCGATTAAGATTCATTATATTGCATTGTCAATTTACAAATGGGCAAACATATATCTGCCAAAATTCATCTAACGTACTATGGTTTTGATGAAACTATTTGGAAATTTTGGCATGATTTGCCTCGTCAATGGTGATTGTTTTGTTACTAATGCAATAAAATTATTAGGATAATGAATGGCCCTTCAAAACAGAGAAATATTAGTAACTTAACACTTATCCATACTCAAGAGCAATTACTCTCCACCCAAGTGTAATAAAGGGAGATAACTTGACACTCCAACTGTAATTAAAGGGGTATAATCAAACGCTTACTCTCAAGTGAGACTTTAAAGGTACCAACTCTAGAGACTAAAGGCCGACAAATGCTTTGTGCTTACCTTCGAGAGTCCACAAGATTTGTCTTATATGTCAATGAGTTGTTTGGATTCGGATGCGTTTGAAATTGAAAAGTGTTCGTCAATTGGTCTCGGATTCATCATCATTTAGAAGTTTCTATGTGCTTGTTTTCTGTGCTTTACCTCCATAATATTCATTTCATTGGTACTCATGTTTGTTGGAAGGGGTTGAGTCTCCAGAAAGCACTGGCCAGGGTTCTAACCCGTCTCGGGGTGTCTTCCATATTGTACTGGCCTTGACCCATCCCTCAAGTTTGTTAACATTAAAAATCTCCTTAATTCGAGTAGGGTGTGTCATTTATAAGCAGTCAGTCGTGTCCATGTTTCGCGAATAAACACCACATCTGGGAACAAAGAAAAAAATAAGTTATTGCTGGGGTTTATCGGATAAAACGGGGCCTTGCGACAAATGCCTCGGATCTCTGGGTATCGATCTCCTTGTATCGAACCCCAATAAGTAATGACCACCTTGCTACTATCTAGGACAGTAAGGGTCAAGCACCGCTCCTCCGAAGGTCATTCATTCAGTTCCACTTCTCGGTTTTTCATTGTAGTATCATCTTATTCGAATCAAAATCAATGAAGTGTTAACTTGTTTACGTTGATATATATAGAAAGATTTTTTATGACTATCTACTCACGGCGATCTGAAGTAGGGGGGTAGCCTATGGATGGGATGGTGGGGTTGTAAATGCTAAATGGAAAAGGGAATCGTCATAGCTTCTGTTTGGATTGTTTTCTAAAATTTCGAAACCATTACGGTTTTGATTGAAACTATATAATTTCAACGGTTTCTGCTTTATTTAAAACTATTTTACTTGAAACTATGAAACTATTTTACTTGAAATTATTATTTACTTGAAACATTTTTAATTGAAACTTATTTTCAGGGGCTATTGTTGAAACTATTTTACTTGATACTATTTTACTTGAAACTTATTTTAAGTGCTATTGTTGAAACTATTTTACTTGATACTATTTTACTTGAAACTATTTTACTTGAAACTTATTTTAAGTGCTATTATTGAAACTATATTCCTTGTAACTATTTTACTTGAAACTTATTGTAAGTGTCATTATTGAAACTATATTACTTGTAACTATATTCCTTGATACTATTTTACTTGAAACTATTTTACATGAAACTTATTGTAAGTGCCATTATTGAAACTATATTCCTTGTAACTATTTTACTTGAAACTATTTTACTTGAAACTTATTTTAAGTGCCATTATTGAAACTATATTCCTTGTAACTATTTTACTTGAAACTATTTTACTTGAAACTTATTGTAAGTGCCATTATTGAAACTATATTCCTTGTAACTATTTTACTTGAAACTATTTTACTTGAAACTTATTTTAAGTGCCATTATTGAAACTATATTCCTTGATACTATTTTACTTGAAACTATTTTACTTGAAACTTATTGTAAGTGCCATTATTGAAACTATATTCCTTGATACTATTTTACTTGAAACTATTTTACTTGAAACTTATTGTAAGTGCCATAATTGAAACTATATTACTTGTAACTATATTCGTTGATACTATTTTACTTGAAACTATTTTACTTGAAACTTATTTTAAGTGCCATTATTGAAACTATATTCCTTGTAACTATTTTACTTGAAACTATTTTACTTGAAACTTATTGTAAGTGCTATTATTGAATCTATTTCACTTGGTAGGCCTATTATTTTTAAGGATTTTTTTTGAAACTATTTTACTTGACATTATTTTTAAGGGTTATTATTGAAACTATTGTGATTGATAACTATTTAATATGATAACTATTTAATATGATAACTATTTTATTTGTGATTATCTTATAGGAGACTATATTTTAGAACTATATAATTTAAACTATTTTTTCAATCTGTTTTTCAGTATGTTGATTGTAAAACTCGACGATTCTTTACTAGAAGGCTGTGACAGTCAGCCACGCCATGCAGTGTGCTATGAGGGAATTTTGTTGCATAAGACAACATCGAGAGAATTACTTACGTAAGTTAACGTTTATTCAATATCAATGAGCATTAGATCGTGGCAAATAAAAGCATTAAGTGGCTAAATTGTACATAAAAATGAGAAAGAACACTGATAAGGGTGTGTTGTTTTATGTGTGTTGTTGTGTGTGTATTGTACAACACAATAAAAGTGTAAATATGTTGGGAGTATTCAGTTTAAATGATACCCAAATAACTTACAATGTAAACGCGATTGTTTGAACCCTATTTGTACGGGTAGCTTTAATTTACCGAATGCCTGTATCGCCTCTTCTCTATTAACCCCAAATCTTTTCCCATTCTATATGCGTAGACAGACTGTCGCTCTATCAGTTATAGCGTTGAAATCTCCGCGTTGTCCATTTGATTATGTCAAACAAACAAAATATGGTCGTGTGTTATAATCTCGGTCAATGTGTTTCTAAATTGTTTGCAGTTTTCTTTCATATCAATAGAGTTCATGTCTCGATAATGTTAGAAAAGGGGGGGGGGGGCGAATTTAACCAACCCTTTTCCCATTCTTGGTTAATACAGCCCAAATGTTATTGGCTAAAAGGGAGGGGCTTACTCATTTTTTTGCGGACATCAACCGTACTAATACGATTTTTGTCAAAATCACATGATCATAAAGATAGTTTGAATTGGATATTTCGACCGTGAATAATTTGATTACGTTGAATAATTCGTTCTTTTCTCCGTGTGTGACTATTTCGGTTAAATTGATCAAAAAAGCATATTTTAAATTAGAATTGTGGTTTTAAATCGAAGATTAAATATTGTCGGTGTGTTTCGTGGATTTTGCCTTTTTCTTAATACAGATTTTCGGATATTCGTCTTCAAAAAGGTGAGTAGCTTTTCTATTTCTCTTTGAAAGAATTTTATCTTCAATGGATACAATCAGTAGGACGTTAAACTCCATTCATTTCATTTCATTTCATTTCAATGGATACAAAGATTGTTATAATATTCTTATCATTCTACACTGTCTTGTTTCTGAACAGTATCATTTGAAAAGTATTATATATTTATATATAAAAAAAACTAAAAATGAAACATTATCAGAAAAATTAAGTAAAAAATTAACGTACTATTAGAAAACTGACTTTATAAGTATTAAATAACGTTATCCGAAACGTTTAAGAAAGATAGAAAATTAACCGAAAAATGAAATGAATGGAGTTTTACGTCCTACTTTTCTGCACCTTGTGGGCTAATGAAGACGGGCATAGTAAAAATAATGTTATTAGAAAAGTGTTTCAGAATTGTAACATAGAAATAACGTGTGTTTCAGAAAAGAAACGTAGAAATAGCGTGCTTTAGAAAAGAAACGTAGAAATAACGTGTTTCAGAAAAGAAACGTAGAAATAACGTGTTGTAGAAATGAAACGTAGAAGTAACGTTATCACAAAAAATAATGAAATTTTTATGAAATTTGAAGTCTCGCGTTGTAAAACCAATAGACCTACAACAACTTCACATAAGAAAATAAATTTAACCCGAAAGGTGAAATTTGATAAGCAATACGTGAGAAAATGTCCGATAGAAGACAGTTTTATTAATTGAACAAGTTTTAAAAAGAGCGACGATTCTCTAAACTGAAACTGGACACCTCCAATGAGCAAAGTTCAATAACTCATATATAATTTCGAGGGACTATATGAGGCTAATATTGGTTTCAACAGTCGTAAGAGTTGTCACTTATTGTCGAAAGGGTCGGAGTTTATTCTTTTACGTGTGATTAAATACTCTTTTTAGAAGAAAGTTTAACTGCGATATCTTTTAAGAAATAAGATATTTTTAAAATTTGCTTTTTTTCTACTTAAATACTTGATATTTTGCCAAATTTTCACTTATTTTAGTAAGATTTTGGTCGTTTGAAACGATATTTTCAGCTTGGTTGAATATAATAAAAGTAACATTCCTCACTACTGAAGTTAAGTTAAGCCACGATTTGTTGTCATTGTGTGGTGACAAAAAATGCCTTTCTAATGATAATTTCCTTTTTTCAAAAACACCCATATGACGATCATAAATACTGCGATATTAAATATGATAAGAGGGACCAGCCCTAAAATGTAAACGAAATGGTATTTATATGCGTTTCAATGGTCAAAGCTTTTCACATGTTGTATTGACATATTGTACGGGTCAGGGGTAGGCAGGTGTAGTATTTTGTCGTGCGAATATTTGTTTTTTTTTTTTTTTAAAGTTGCTCTTTCCTGTGCAGTACATATATTATGGAAAGGATTGGAGATTCAAGTTGTTTTGACGTGCAGTTTTGACGTGTAGTTGTTTTGACGTGTAGTTGCTTTGACGTGTAGTTGTTCTGACGTGTAGTTTTGACATGAAGTTGTTTTGACGCGTAGTTGTTTTGACATGTAGTTGTTTTGACATGTAGTTGTTTTGACGTGAAGATGTTTTGACGTGCAGTTGTTTTGACATGCAGTTGTTTTGACGTGAAGATGTTTTGACGTGAAGATGTTTTGACGTGAAGATGTTTTGACGTGCAGTTGTTTTGACGTGAAGATGTTTTGACATGCAGTTATTTTGAAGTGTATGAGACATTGTGTTGGCATGTATATGTAGAACGTTCTCTTCACTTGTAAATGAATTCTTTTGTTGTGACGTGAAGGAATATGCACTTGCTCTGACCTGTAGTTGTATAATTTTAGTTTGCCCTCTTTTCAATTCTTTTAAAGTGCATTAGGTTAACTGTTGAACTGGGTGATCTACTTATTAATCAATATAAGAGTAGACTAAATGAAGGATACATTCAGATTTTGACCTCCTTTTGAAATTTAATTTGTTGACCGACACACCTATATCTAAATTATTATTTGAGATTTTTTTTATGAGAAATTTAAATTATTATTCGAGTCAAATCTGTACTTTGTTGATCCGAATTAAAGCCACATTTGTGTCGAGTTAAGATTTTCGGACCCAAGGTTAATACCTTGATGTATATATGTATGTGTGTACAGGTTGCTAGTTGGCATACTTTTAACGTTGAACGCTTTCAACAAATTTAAGAAAGATGATCAGATATTGAATGAGTAAATTAACTCATAGAAAATAAACTAAAAGAAATATGAAGAACTACTTTAATCAAGCCAAATTAAGATTGAAGTTTTTTAATTCAGAATACAGTGCATTTAAAATGATATTTTGAAGCGCTGATTTCAATGTCTAATAATCCAACGCTCAATAGAGTATATAACTGGGCGGAAACATTGTATTCAATTAAAACTTCATTTGAAATCGACACATTCAATTCAATGTTATGCCCTATATTTTTTTGACTTTTCTTCATTGAAGGTTATTTGGCAATGCGACATTTAGGTAATATACTCCTGGGTTTATTGTACGCAACGTTTCAACATAACTACACCCTCCTCGATTTATTTGAAGTGCTGATCATTTACATGGCTAATGTTTATGATTGTATTCCTCTTTTTCAGATCTAAAAGATGTTGCAAGGATCAGGGGCACGGTGTGTCAAGTACACCCTCTATTTCCTCAATGTTATCTTCTTTGTAAGTATAGCTACGTTCGATTTTTATATTCGGGCATGACTCGAGTATAAGGAATAAGCATCAGTAATTCTTAATAATGTTCTGAAAGGGGGATTCCGTGTAATTTATGTTGTAAGGGGACTTCATAGTCTGTGTTCAATATGTATGAATAATACCAAGCTTCGCTTCATCAAATTCGCTCCTTCCTTTTCAGATAATGGGCGTGGCATCCATTGGCATTGGAGTCTTCCTATTGGTGGACGAAGAGCACATGACAAACATGGTTACGTTTACCATTTCCGGTGACAATCCAGAGACCAGTGATCCTGGATTGCTCTTCAGCATCTGCATTATCTTCATCGTCATTGGAGCTCTACTGGTTCTTCTCTCCTTTTTCGGATGTCTTGGTACCATGAAAGAGATCAGGTGTCTTCTGGCTCTGGTAAGATACACTTGGTGGGAAGTTGGTGGTTGGACAGGAAGCTCAAATAATGCTCTGCTCTCAAACTGGCAGATCTTCCTAAACAACCAGGAAAGACAACAAGAGCACATGCTGGTGCCCTGAAAGTTAGTGTTATAAAATGGATAAAGCTTCTAGGTAGTTGGTTGATATCTTAGTCCACTCTTGGAGCTGAGCATCATGATCCTCCTGTAGGACATGTTGGTCACTATTTTACATCCCTTGTCGGTAGTCCAAACCATTAATGACGGTTATTTGACATAGTATATTTTTATTGCAGTATTTAGGATTACTGTTCATGGTGTTTGTCGTACAGATCGCTGTCTTGGCTCTATCAATTGTCTTTCACATGAGGGTAAGTGGTTTTATGCCTTCGTCCTCTCAATTCGTCAATATGGCAGCTGATTTGTTGCAACTTTGTGTTTGTGCTCTTTATTGTAAAAAAGTTAAAAAAAAAAAAACTCTTGTTACACTTGGAGATGGCAGTTGAAGACGCTTCGATCAACACATTGATACATTGCCCTCGTTCCATTTAAGGTGACAGAAACACTGGAGAGCTCACTGTATTCAAATCTTAAACTATCGTATGATAACTACTATAATACATCTGATGTGTTTACAAGAGGTTTCGACTACAGCATGGTATATGTAAGTATAGCACCTTCTTGGATTCCTTTAGAAAAGCCTGGCTTTATGGACAGCTCACACGGACAGCAATTTCAGATGCAATACATTCCAAACGTCTTGTAGCGTTCATTGAAGGGAATTATGCAGATTCGGATTGCGAGAGGTCTTTAACGTATATTGCCTATCGCATATGGAACCACGTTCTGTTGCCAATATGACAATGAAAGGTTTTATCCATGACGGTCTTTCCAAGCTGCATCACTGGCAGATTGAAATCATGGCCTCTCATAGAAGCAGATATAGTCCTCCCTTTGAAACTTCCACGTAAGTAATTTGGATTTCTAATTCTTATTTCAGTTTGAATGTTGTGGTATCAGAAATTATACAGAATTTCAAAAGAGAGAGCTTGTCCCCAAATGGTCGCATTTCAACTCGCAACTTGTTCCTGCCCACTGTTGCAAGCTCAATAAAGAAGCTTTTTATACTGAAAGGTTGATGCGACTTGAGGAATCGTCGTGTCCGACCAAACTTTTAGCTAGCAACATAGATACGGTCAGTAATTTAGTCTGTGGTCAGCCATATATTTGATTTGTTTCATTTCAGTTTGATTTAATTTTTTTAATTTGATATTTTATTTAATTTGTTTTTATTTAATTTTGTTTTTATTTATTTGTTTTATTTAATTTTGTTTTTATTTATTTGTTTTATTCAATTTTTTTTAGCCATGTTATGACAAGATTTTGGACTGGAACACGTTACGTTCTACAATGTTGATCGCTGTTGCGGCCGTCACACTTGCGTTTGAGGTATGTGAGCTTCTTAGTGAAAAATTATCTGCTCCATGGTCGCAAGAAAACGGACAAAAAAGCTAAAACTAAATTAATTAGCATGAGGAACACATCGAGTTCATTGTTCATTTCATTGTAGTTTTCATTTACTTTCTTTTAATTTTACTTCATTTTCATTTTACTCATATATATTTTCATTTCATTTCATTTCATTTCCAGTTAATTGGTATGATGCTGACATGTTGTTTGATTAGCTGTATTAAAAACATTTATAACGAAACATAAACCTTGCTGGCAGTTTAAAATTACATTGCGTCAAATTGCAAGGATTTGAATATTTTGACGCATTGCACAGTATTTTTCAAAAGGATGTATTATTTTGCAAAGACATTGGATGCAAGCCGTATCTGCAATACAGATAATTGTATATATATCAGTAGAGAGAATGTTTCTTTGAATGTATGATAATATGTGACGACAAAGTGTAAGCCAAGATGCTGATCTTACACTATCAAAGACAAAGTGATTGTGCCAAAAATTGCCTTTTAATGGAATTTTAAGAATTTCTTGAGGATTAATATTATATTCATGCTTTGTTTGTAATTATTATAACGTTTTTAAATTATGGATGTGGTTTGCCTGTGCACGGATCACCAATAATCAAATATTATATATAATCGAACCAACTTTGATAAATCGAGATGTGCTCGAATATACACGTAATTGTGGCCAGTAAATGAATGAATTATATTATTGTTATGTTATTATGTACTTGTATATATATGGGTTTTGTTATTGTGTATATATATGGGTTTTGTTACTTGGTTATGAATAAACTAAATTGGTGTTTATGTATGCGTTTTAAATTCTTCTTTTGAGTTACAATAAAGGGTCACTTACCCGGAGACCCAATATATGTAGATGATCACCGAAGTTTGATGTGCTTGAAGTTAAGTATTGTCTGAAAAAAAAAACAAGAAACAGAATTACCTCCCTTTATTTGCTCAATTGAAATATTAAGAAATTCAAAAAAATTGTCGTCCATTTTTTTTTTAGTCGTATTAGATTATTTTTAAATGTTTACTTTGTAGAGTATTGGCAACTTAATTACCTTAGACGTCTTTATAATTCCGATTCATTCAAAAATCACAAAGAAAAACCACAGGCCTTACTCGAAAATATCCAAATTTCATCCACATTAAATAATGCATCCTTTTTCATCAGCTTTCTTTGGTGACGAGCCCTCTCAACTATTTTCGGGGATGTCATTGGTTTAAAATCTCGCTACCCAATCGCTCGCTAGATTTAATCTACTGAGTTAAAATTCAGCTTGGATGACACTGATCGGTGATAATTGGTTTAATCAGGCGGCACATTCAGGACCGTAGAGTCGTGGTTTATTCGGAATTACTCGTATCTAACTAGCCAAAAATGAACAATTTTGTCAATTTTATTTTAGATTTGGCAATTGAGATTTTGGGGCCTCTTTATCAATGTGTTTGTGCGTCGCCTTACAAAAAACTGGCGGTCAAAATCTTTTTGTTGGCGATTTATGCGCCAAAAGACTGTGCCAGGTCACCTGGCTGTGTGATAGTCAGTATTTGTACGAATAATCTGGAATAGTCACAATTGTCTCGATCTACAGGGGTAAAGCTTGGGTTTTAATTAGGCGTAGTCTTAATCATCCAGAGTGAAATGTCCCTTCATAATACTACTAGTCCTGATCGTCAAGACTGAAATTTAATCCATACTAAACCCAATCATCCGGACTGAAATCTCCCCTTCATAAGTTTAGTCCTGACCATCCAGATGGAAATCTTCGCACATTCTTTAGTTCATATCAGTTATGAGCTAAAAAGGCGAAAACATAGACCTAGTCTTTGAAAAAAGAATTTATTAGCTAAAGTCTATGGAAGTCTTGTAGTTTGAATCGACACAGTAAAATTGGCAGTGGTCAGTTAACTACACAACTAAGCCAATTACTAACTTTTCCTTTCGCCAATTAATCTGTACCAATTCCACCGTAAACACTGACCACAAGATGTCGCTTCTTTTGTCCAAATATGGCCAGGTTGTAAGAGGTCACATAAGGTTATGGACATGAATTACGTCTGCGCGGCTAATAAAAGATGGCCGACTAATAGTTAAACAAGAGGTTACGTTGAAACAATGACGACCATGGATTAGCGTCACGTGCCTTTTAATCAAGGGAGATAAGCGATGTTATTTTGGTCAAAGGTCTTCGGACAGTGGTCAGTTCTTGTTGACCAATTGGGTGTTAATTACTGTAATTTCATCGCGCAGACTAAAAGCTCCAAATTAAACCAGATTATGTTTAACGAGGTGGATGGTCGCCATTGTTGATGCCCGTTACATGATGTCAGCTTATTATTAAGGACTTTTCATGAAATATTTGTAAAATTTATTTATTTTTAACTTGAAATCCCATGGGAAGTGGTTACTCTCAAACCATTTGTGAAGATTTGACAAAAAAAAATCCACTTCCATATTTCATATTGGTTTCAGTAGTACATTATAAGAATAGAAAGGGAGACAATAATGCACCCTGGTTAATCCCTTTTTGCCCTCATTTTACTGCGCAATTCTTCGATGGTTCATTTAGCAGGCCAAGTCTTCCGAAATTCTGACATTTTTGCCTCTCTTTTGATGGTTGCCTTGTAGTAAATTTTTCAACCCTTAATCGTCCATTTAATTGTGATGAAAAGTTAATTATTACCGCTAAAAATACGTCAACATATCGGCTTTATTATGCTTTAATACTTTGTAGCTCTGCGGTATATTGGACAATAATATGCAAATTAGCTTAACCGGACACCAAGACTGTACACCGACTATAAGTTTGCATGCTGCGTCATTTGATTGGTTGATGTATAATTAAGTATCCAATGAAATGCCCGGTTTCTTAAACGGTGTCATGGTGATTCCTCAATATCATCTTCCTAAAATTTTATGACATAAATAATATGCAAATTAGGTTGAAATAAAGGAACATAAACATGTTAAAAATCTGTTACTTGTTATTTAGCTTGTTTTATGTCCTTATTACTGGTTAGGGGGTCTTTATCTCTTTGGTTAAATCGTTAAAGTGAATAACAAGAGATTTTGAACAGACATTAACGTCTTATTAAGGATGGCAAATGGAAAAGGATGGACTATTAAAGGGCACAATGCAATAGACAAACTCCGTAATATCGTAGAGGCGTTTTGGGCACAGAAAATACAGAATTGCAGAAGCATAGCTTGCGAGATAGTTGTATACGATCATATTAAATGCGAGTGCTAAGGTTTTGGAAGCAGTGGAATAAATTGTGCTTCTACTGCTGTGTCAATCCTGGGAACCACTGATAAAGGTCGGAAACTATTGAGTTACTGCTCAGCTAGATGTGATCAATTGACTCAGATGAATAGATATTTTAATTGCTACGTAAAGTAGACATGACCATGTTTAAGTGGCATTTTTTTGGATGTATATTGATTCGTTTTCAACAATATTGTCACATTTTTCATAACCTTATCGACTACCTTTGTTGATGTAGGGTGACATCACTGTAATCATGTTTAAGTGGTAGAATCCAAGCCTAGTATAAATTTCAAAACTAAGGGCCTATTGAATAAACCGAGCAATTAGTATTTGAAGGTACCAATTAACTAGAAAAAACAGTATTGCTCTACTAATAGTATAATATAAAACAAAACTTCAAATGATAGAATAAAATTGATTGGAATTGAATCTGCTGCCGTTGTAAAAGCCTCCGGGACACTTACAGCTTCTATTTGTACCATTTCATTATCTTATTAAGCTTGTTTTGGCACCCTACCATGTTCAGCCCAAGGTCTGCCAAAAGCTTTTATTTTGCCCTTCCGGTGGTAGTCTTCCACATTGCGTTCCAGGATACTATGAATCCCAATTTTTGCCATTCTTTGGACGAGATTTTTGATTAACGTAAATGTCTTGCTTGTATGACTTTTTATTGTAGTATCTTGCGAATACTTATGAAGGTCTTCTTTTATTTTCAGTCATTTGGTAGATGGCAGTCCAGAGACTAAAGCATCGAAGAGAAAGGTAGGAGCTCCTTGAAAGTTTTACTGCTGATACTCTCACAGATGCTGCTTGACCGTCCGTACAGTACCTACGAATGTATACTGTCCGCCTTAAACAGAGAAAAGCTGAACTGGGTTGTATGCAACAATTTGATCGAAAAACTCTCCTAAGTTTTGGTTCCTACCTTGTTTAGAAGATCACCATTAATAGGATATGATATCTGCTAATCGTTTGAAATTTACTGGAAGAACTTCAGATTGTGCCAACAACAGAGTACCAAATATTAAGATTAAGCTCTGTTTAGTTGTTAATGGAATTTTATCTTTATTACGAATATATGACACTCGAACCCTGAAGCACTTGGCACCCCAAATAACTAAATACCCAAACCCAATTAGATACCCCAATATTCCTAATCTTGCTTGAAAATAGCAGTGACAAATTCAGATCTCGTCAATGACAAAAGCACCAAATATACGACTGAGCTCGTTTCAGTTATTCATAAAAAATTTAATCTATAACATTAAGAATTCATGACACTCGAACGAACTGACAAAATTGGAACCTTTTCCTGTTGTTTCGCCGTTTTATTGCAAAAAAATGCTCGAATTTGTTCATTTACAGCTTCCTGAGAACATCGAACATAATATCAGAGTTGGACAATAACTCAAATGGAAGTCAAAAAGCAAACAAAAAGGCATGGAAGTAATCTTTTCTGGGCAGGAAATCGCGTTAAGGTAGTCATAGGGCCTTAATTAGATGTTAATGGGTTTTAAAATGGAATTTTCGCTGATTTATGAGACGTTTGAGGAAAAGAGATCTGAATTTTTAGTTTCCAATTAAGCTTTCGTCCTCTTCTCGAGTCAGAATGCATGAAATTTTTTATTTGCAAGAAAACATTGAGAAAAGCCATTTTTTGACAATTCGCCAATATGTTGTCGCAAATTAATTATGCATTTCACATATGCCACTTCATATTTTGTGTTTTATGGCCGTATTTGTCGAATGTCGGATTCTGAAAAACTACGACCCTTTTCACTATAGCTTCCACGATCACACATTGCACGTGTGTTCATTGAAGTTCTCAGGAAGACATGTTTTGAATTTGCAGGATTTTTTTTTATTTAATTCCGATTTTGATCATAAATTACAAAGAATTAATTTCGGTATATTTCTTAATGCGCCATTTCGTCGTTTTTAACGTTTTTGATGCCAACTGTTGCACCATGCCTGCGAGACGTTTTTTTTTCACCTTCTGAATAATTCTTCAAACGACTTTTTACTTCAAACTTCTGATGAAATATGTCACATTTTAGTTTGGGTCTGCCAGAAGTTTTTCTTTGGAAGGTTTTGGCTGTCTAGTTCTGATTGAAACAAATCCCTCATGTGCTACAGGCTGTTAACATAGACGAAGTAGTGCTAATGTTGGGTACAACAGCTTTCTTTAATTGCCCAAAAGGTGCACCACCACAGTGTGGATGTAAAACTCGTTGCCTTTCTTCAATTTTTCCCTCAATGTTTCTTCAAGTTGGGGAATTATTCAAGGAGCTCTTCTGTGACCTATCTTGTCTATGTTGTTCGTAAACGAATTTCTGAATCGGTGGTTAAATGAAGGACTTTCTTAAAGGTGGATCAGGTATCTCTTTTCAGTTCAAAATCTTTGAATCCAAAATTTAATACAAGTCACAAAATAGGCAACAGTCGATCAGAGTTTTAAAACGAGAATTTGACTATACCAAAAGCAATTTCGTAATGAAGGATCGGCGGAGGGAATTGCCAATAAAAATG